CCACCGGCGCTCCTTCTGCAGTCTCTTGGGGGAACTGTCCAGAGCACCTAGGGCCATGAAATTTGTGACTCACGGGTCATGAAAATCAGCCTTAGGAAATGTAGTACACAGGACTATGACCCTAAAGTTAAGGAGGCTCTAGCCAAAGCCCCAAGGCACCCCAGGAATTTGGGCTAAAAGGTAACTAGTACTCAAAGGTAGCACCCGAAACCACAGTGGACTATGGAATGTGAAGTCTAGAATGTCTAATGGGGAACCCCTAATCCCACTGCAGAATGTCTCCCACAGGGCAGGGTCCAAAGTGACAGCTCACCAGAGCCTTCACCCACCAGCCCTCCACCTTGGGCCATGGAGCACTGTGGGAAATGTAGTCCAGGCTGTACTCCCTCCCGCACAAGCCTTTTTGAGATTTGTAGTCCAGGCTAGGTGTTCCAATAGGCTTGGAAGGTTAATGTGGTAAAACATGAAATAATGCTAACCTTCAGTACTTTCACTTAAATTCAAATTGGGGAGAATATAGGCATTTTGAGGTAGGAACAGAGACCCGTACACATGGCATAGAAAGGGGTAAAAGTCTAGACACAGACAACAGATTCTGTTGTTTTTCTCCCTAAAGGTTATTGGAGCCTCTTTAACTTACACTCATGTCCTGTGGATCCCATTTCCCATTGTGTCCTAAGGCCATCTACTCCTTGACTGATGCAAAGAACTACAAATCCCACAAGGCAAAGGGAGGGTTGAGCACAGACACAAAGAAGATTGTATTCTTGCTGTCTCTTGGGATATGTAGTCCTTGAACACCTCCCGTACATACATGCACCAACGCTCACGGAAGCCAGAAGCAAATCTTCAGGGTGTCGTTTGTGTGTTTGTGGTCCTGAGTGTTTTTGTCCATGCGCATGATAGTGATGCTCTATAATCATCTGTATAATCGTTTAAATATGTTTGTGTTTATATCTGTGCAAAGGTGTCAGTATAGATATTTTGCGACTTTGATTCCTTATCTGCAGGAGATATATTAGCTTGCTGTTAATGAAAGGGCTGAAGGTTCAAACTCACCAGCCTCTTAGTGGGAGAAAGATGCAGCAGTTGTCTTCCATAAAGATTCAGCGCCATGGAATGATTGGGAAGAGGGTGTCAGGGATGGCTGGGAACACGAAGGATATAATCAATGGCACTGAATTACACATGTAGAAGTTGAATAGGAGAATGTTCTTTGTGTATATTTTGCCGTAATTAAAAAAATAATATCAGTGAGTACAAGGAGGAAATTGTTCTGCAATTGATTGTGGTAATGGTTGAACAACTCCTCTGGATACGACTGAATTTTTTTTTCAAAGCCATTTTATTGGGATCGAATACAGATATCATCTCATTCCCCAGTTTACTCACATCAAGCAGTATTGTACAATTGCTACCAGAATCAGTTTAGAAACGTTCTCTTTCTTCTTGAACTCCTTGATATCTGCTACCCTGTGCCCCCCTCCCCACTGTATTCCCCCCCCCCAAGCCTCATTCTACTTGTTGTCTCCATCGGTTCATCAGTCCTGGGTTTCACAGACTGAAAAACAGCAAACATAGAACCAAAACTCAAGAGGGCAACCGGTAAAGACAAAATACATCAGAGATAAACTCCAAAATAAAAACAAAACAA